TAAGACCCCAAACTGACAAGCCAACTGCTGCCTTGGATGCAGAACAACAGGAACGTCCATTCACGTGAAGTGGGAAGTCTGTATCTTCCGGCAAATTTGGAAGACAGTCTGCTTGGTTCTTAATGAGGTTCATCAGAGTCTTGCCACACTGTCCAACATTCTTGCTATTAAGTATCTGCCCACTTTGCTTCAAAATGTATGTCTTATTAAACAAAATACAAATCCAGGATTAGTAAAGAGAAACTTTATTCAAAAGGGTGAGTAGAAGGAGGCAAGGTATGTGGAGGGGACTTTCGCAGGAGGACATGAGTAGGCAAAGCACAGGTAATGCTTTAGGGCAGTGAAACTATCATGTGCATTATAGACCGGATATTTGCTTCCCGCCCAAATTCACCTGTTGAAGCCCTGACCTCCAGTGTGATGGTATTTGCAGGTGAGGCCTCTGGGAGGTAATGGGGTTTGAGGTCATGAGGTCATGAGGGTGGGGGTTCTCTGATGGGGTTTGTGTCCTCAAAAGAAGAGGAAATATAAGTAACACTCTCTGTGTGAGGATGGGGTGAGATACAGGGTGGTTGTATGAGACAAAGCATTTGTCAGAATCCATGGAAATTGACAGGACACAGAAGGAAAGTTAATGTGTTTAACCTTTTAAAACATCGTTATTGAGGTTGGGAAATATCAGGCTGAAATGCAGAATATGACAAAAGAATCTAACCTTACCAATGGTTGAAAAGCTTCCCTGAAGACTGTCAAGTACAAAGAGCTAATCTAAGCAACACTGGAAATGAAAGAAGTGTGTAAGTCTAAAGACAAAAGAAATTGTACAAATGCAGCACAGTCGACTAGACAAACTTGTTGCCAGTATGGACACAGGTTGAAAACTCTGACAGCATTCTGCATGTATACTGGAACCTAACAATTAGTAAAGGGATGGTGAGAGGCAGGTTTTTCACTACAGGAGAGAGAGGTGCAGATTGTAATGTGGCAGGGGCAAGAATGATCCATGCTGTGATGGGGTAGAATTGAAGACATAGGTAGGAACTCATATTCAGCTTATTATAGATCCTCATGATCACGTATCAAAACATATATAGAAATGTGTATATACATGGGCTAGTACACATACATATGTATTTCCTTTCTGTTTCAGCAGAGAGGGCCTAGAAACCACTAGACTCTGGTAGCTATGAGAACAGCTAGTAGCCATACTTGACTTCTGATACCATTTTCTGATAAAAGGAAACAAAGATCCTTGGAGAATTGGCTGATTCTAGAAGCTAGAAAATAGACCAGAGAAGCCTAGAACATATGCAAGACAGAAATGTGCAGGATGTGCCAAAAACCAAGGAATTACACAAAATTGAACCCCAAATAATGGGAGCATACCAACGGGACCTAAGGGTAAACTTAACGTGCACCCAGTGGCCACAACTGGAAAAAAAAATAAAAAAAGAAGTATTGGATTATAATCTAAAGTATCAAATAAATATCCATGAAAGTATTATGATATAACTCATGATTGAATAAGGTAATAAATGCAGAAGCATAGATAGCTGTGCCGTGAAGGAGAACTCCAAAGAGTGTATGTACTCTGCCTCAAAGAAAGAATGTATAACTTAGTACCAGATAGGGGTGATCTTTTCTTAATGACTTCCTTCCAAAGAGCAGCGTGTGGACAGGGGTTAAAAGAGTAAATTTTCATGGGCGCACCGTCCAACACTGCTTCTGCCAGGTGATCAAGGTCAACTTACGCAGTCAAAACTAATGTTGATATTATCTACCCTTCATGAGATCACATGAAAATAGCTCTTTACCTTTGTGGAGATTCTCCAGTAGCTCACAACATCAGTCTAATCATGAGAAAAGCATTAGAAAAATCTGAGAAAAAAAATATTCTAGGGAGGCCGGGTCCAAGACTTTGAGACCAGCTTGGGCAACATAGCAAAACCCTACCTCTACAGAACACACACACACACACACACACACACACACACACACACTCTCTCTCTCTCTCTCTCTAGCCAGGCATGGTGGTGAATGCCTGTAGTTTGATGTACTTTGAAAGGCTAAGGGAGAAGGATGGCTTGAACCTGGGATGTGGAGTTTGCAGTGATCTGAGAACCCACCATTGCCATTGCATACTCCAGCCTGGGTGACAAAGCAAGAGACCCTGTCTTGAAAAAATAACATTGTGGAAAATATCTCACTAGTAACCCTGAAAACTCTCAAGGTCATGAAAACAAGCAAAGTCTGAGAAATTGTCTCAGCCACGAGGAACCTAAGGCAGGATGATGACAATTAAATGTAGTGTGGTAGGCTGCGTGGTATCTTGGAATGAAAAAAAAAAAAAAAAAAGGATATTTGGTAAGAAGAAGGAAACCTGGAATAAAGCATGGACTTTAGTTTCTTCTTTCTATCAAAAACCACCAGCAGGGAACAGTTGGGGCCTCTGTGTCAGCAGAAAAACCAAACACACAAAAATAGTATCGCGAATGCTCTGAAAATAAACTTTTTAAAAAATCCCAGAACCTAAAAACGGACACCAGAATCTACATGCTTAACCTAAAGAAAGTAGCTGACTTCCAACATCCACTATTTGTCTCATGTCCAGAGACTGCTAAAGTAATAAGCAGAATATATTGTATGCCATAGAGCATAGCCCATCGTGTCAAAAACCGGGAATAGCACAGTGTGAATGAGGAAATGCAATCCAGTGGTGACAACATAGAGACGACGCAGATGTTGCCATTTCTCTGACAAACATTTTAAAGCAAACATCATAAAAATGCTTCATTATTAAATTGCAAACAGTCTAGAACAAGACTAGAAAATGGAAAATCTCAGCGATGAGTAGATGTGTGAAAAAGAAATGATGGAACAGAAAATGAGAACAATAACAGAATTTGGAAACATTGCTGGATTCACTCGGTGAGAGACCTGTGATGACAAAAAATATCACCATCATAATGGAGGCCAATCAATAGGCTTGACTTGACGGCCGGGCGTGGTGGCCACGCTTGTAATCGCAGCACTTTGGGAGGCTGAGGAGGGAGGATCACTGCAGGGCAACGTGGGGAAACCCTGTCTCTACTAAAAACACAAAAATTAGCTGGGTGTGGTGGTGGGAACCTATAATGCCAGCTACTTAGGAGGCTGAGGCAGGAGAATCGCTTGAACGTGGGAGGCGGAGGTTGCAGTGAGATCACGCCACTGCACTCCAGCCTGGGTGACAGAGCGAGACTCTACCAAAAAAAAAAAAAAAAAAAAGGATTGAGAACACCTTAGCGCACGAGAGGTCACAGACTCATTGGAAACTGAATGGATCCTCAATGAAGTTAGGACAGTAACAAAGTTCCAGCATCCCTAGTACCAAAACTAGAGAGTGGACTCAAAGAGTAGTATAAGAAAAGAAGGCCGAAAATGTCCAAATTTTAGTGAAAAACATAAATCCAGAGATTCTGGCAAAAAAGCAAACTGCAGAGAAGACAACCACAAAGCAACGCGCATGTCGGCGCACACACATCATACTCGGTTTTTGAAGCTGATAAAAACACTGAAAGCAGCAAGACTGAAGCGAGCGGTCCATTGATAATAGGAGAACGCCAGTTTCAATGAGGGTAAATGTCTCCTCAGACCGGCGGGGGCCGTTGGGGAAGTGTCCTGACATGTTTCAGGTGTTGAATAAAAGTCCTGTCAGCTGTGAATTTTGTATCCAGTGATACCATCCCTCATGGGTGAAGGGGAAATCAAGACATTTCTCAGGTAAAGGAAAGCATTTTGTCACGAGGAGACCCATGGTGAAAGAATGGCTAGAGTCGGTGCTTAAAGCAAAAGAGGAAAGAATAAAAGATGGCCTCTGGGAGTATCAGAAAGTAGTCAAGAGTAACAGAAAAAACACCCTTAGGGGTCAAACATTAAGCCACCCTTTTCCTTGTGAATTGTAGAAATCACGTTTGTTGATTAAAGCAAAACGTAAGAAAGCATCTGATACTCCAGACGAGGTTGTCGATAAGCGGGAAGGCAGAGGGGCTGAAAGGGGCCGATGCTTCCACACTTCAATGGAAGTGGTGAGGAGCGGCAACAGGAGCCTGCAGTAAGTCACACACGCACGCTGGAAATCCCAGAGCAAGCACTGAGACAAACAGTTGAAAACACGTTCGGGAACCAAGATAAACCCTGCAGAGTGTACAGGTAAGCCACAGAAAGGCCAAACAGGAGGAACGGTTAGCCGAGACAGGAAGGAAACAAAAGAAAACAAATAATAGGTTGGTGGACTTAAACACTAGCCCAGTGATCGTGGAAATGAACTAAAACCATGTATGAAAAGGTAGATACTGGCAGAGTCAGTGAGCAACACAGCCTGCCTATTCCTCGTTTATATGAAACTCAGTTGCATTTCAGCTGCCCTGGGTAAATGAAAAGGATACGACGGGTGGGAAAAGCCTCATCAGGTAAACATCAACTAAAAGAGCAGAAGTAGGGATGTCAACATTAGGTAAAGAGGCCTTCATGGCAACGAAAATTACGAGATAGAAAGACAAAACACTACACCCGAATGAAAGAATCAGCCCCGCAAGAAGACTTTAGAGGAGTCTTTCCGTGCCCCTCCCAGCCGCCCTTCCGATTCCAGCGTGTGGGCGTTCCTCTGTGTTCCCAGAGCCCCTGGTTCTCACTTCTGCCAGGGCGAAGGTCCCAAGGTGTTGGGGACTGTATTTGCATACACCTGATCCTAAATGAATGTGAGTGCTTTAGGAGGCAGGATGCAGCTCCACACCCCAGCGCCCAGGTGGGGTACCTGGTGCCCAGCAGGTGTTTGTTGAATGCCTCACGACTGACTTTCAGGCCAGCGAAGGCTGTTGCGGTAGGGTCGAGGGAAGGGTCTCTTTACATCACATCCAACAAGGAACCAATCCTGCTGGCGGACACAAGGAGGCTGCTCAGTGACTGACGAGGAAATGGGGGTAGTGGGGTAGGCACCGGATCTGGAAGCCTCAGACGTCATGGGCAGAGTGAGGAACCCGACCACTGCTCTGCGGCGGAGGCTAAAACGGCCCGGGGACCCTCCCGCCTCCTGCGCGGCGTTCCGGGTCACCCGCGCCAGCCGCCGGCAGCGCCCCCGGGTCAGAGTCGGGGTCGGGAGCCCCGCGGCGGCCAAGAGGTGGCTGGGAAGGTGGTGGCAGAGGCGCCGATGGCGGCGGGTCCGGGAGAAACGCACTAGAGACCCGCTGCCCTCCGCACCACCCGCGGACCGGCATGAGCCAGCCGCGTCCCCCCGGGACCTGGACCTGGGCGCGCAGCGGGAGCGCTGGGAGAAGTTCAGGAAGCTGTGGGGTCTCAGCTGCGAGGGCGCCGCCAAGGTCCTGCTGGACACCTTCGAGTACCCGGGCCTCGTGCATCACACCGGGGGCTGCCACTGCGGCGCGGTCCGCTTTGCGGTCTGGGCCCCCGCAGATCTGCGCGTCGTGGATTGCAGCTGCAGGCTGTGCAGGAAGAAGCAGCACCGCCACTTCCTCGTCCCGGCCTCGCGCTTCACGCTGCTCCAGGGCGCGGACAGCATCGTCACCTACCGCTCCAACACGCACCCGGCGCTGCACAGCTTCTGCAGCAGGTGCGGGGTGCAGAGCTTCCACGCCGCGGTCTCTGACCCCCGCGTGTACGGCGTCGCCCCGCACTGCCTGGACGAGGGCACCGTGCGCAGCGTGGTCATCGAGGAGGTCGGCGGTGGCGACCCGGAGAAGGAGGACGCCGAGGAGCACAAGGCCATCCCCAAGACGTCCTCCCGGTCAGTCCCTGCCTGTGTCCGCGAACAGCAACAGTGACTGTCCGCGCAGAGAGGAACAGCGCAAGCACGCCCGAAACCGGCCGGCCGGCCGGCCCCGCGCGGAGCCTCCGACTACCTGCACAGATCACACGCTGTGAACGAGGTGTTTCTGGCCTGGTTAAACCGTGGTTTCCCTTCCAGGGTTTGCCCTTCCCCTCCGCTAGTTTTCAGTGAACTCGCTTACGTTCCAAACCTTGAACACAACTTTAATCTTGTGTACAACGTTACCCTTGCAATCCCATTAGCAAGAAGAGTGTCTCTGCTTTTTCTAGCCATCCGTTGACTGTATCTCTCGCTTTTACTGTTCTGCATACGGTTGTCACAAATCACCTGCAGATGATTCCCGTGTCCTGTACGTTCCTGGTGCTATTGTGAACAGGCTTGTTTTCAGCGCTTTGCGTCTGGTGTGTAGGACGGCAACACACAAACAGTTTGTAAACACCTTGCCAGGACGTCTTCCACTCATTATGGTGCGGTGCGCGCCCGCTCCTGTGACTTTTGGGTAGACATTCATATTGCCACTACTTAGATTCGCGTTATGCTATTTACTGGGTTTTTAGTGATATATTTCAAGATTTGGTCGTGTTCCATACCTCCCTGCTCTTAATCACCAAAAGGTGTTACTATTTTCCTTGTTGACCTCTGGAAAGTGTCTCTGGGCAAGGAGATGGGGATACAGGAATGAGAAAGACACCTGTGCATTGTATGCCCTCTTTAATCTTTTGAAAGACCTGTCTTGTACATGTGTTAAGTATATAGAAATCAGTAAACACCTTTTAGGCATCTATGTGTGTTGGTGTGTCTGTAAAGTTCGACTTGGCTATGGCAAGGCTTGGTTTTTGAAAGTACTTGGTCTCAGATTATTTCAGAAGATGCTGGTGACTCTGCCTTTTGTAGTAGAGAATACTCGCACAGGGTTCCCTACTTTTTTGATGAGGGGAATTAGCAGAGGGTTTACACATCTGGCCTCTGGGGACATACTACCTGTCTTTGAATCCTGGACCTGCTGTCATATACAGCTACATAGCTGGCATCAAGCAGCTTAAACTGGATTCCTCAACTTCCTCTTTCCTCAAGAATGTTAATAGCTAACAGAGTGTTCTCAGGTCAACACAGTGCCTTGCCTTGACTGCCTGATCCCTGAGTGCTTCTTTTCTTGATTTCGGGTCCCCCAAACTCCTCCCATCAAGGCACTCAGAGGATATGAAACTGCATTGTTTAGGGGCATCTATATAGTTGGGAAAACCATGAAGAACTGGCAGTGAAATAATTTAAACCAGCATCAGATTGGGGTTTAACTCTACGGAGGAGGAATGGCTTTGGTTAGGACATGTGTCCAGCATTCCTGTTCCTCTTCCTGTATGACAAACGGCCCCACAGTGAGTCCATAAAATAACGACCATTTTATCATATGCGTGGAAGTTCAGAGGCAGGAATTCAGAATGGGCACAGTGGATAAGACTTGTTTCCCATGAGCCTGGGACCTCAGCTGCAGAAGCCCGACTGGCTGGGGACTGGAACCATCTGAAGGCTCATTCACTGACATCCCTGCTGCCTGCATGGAGAGGACTGGAAGACTAGGCCTGGGGGGCGGAGGGCCCCCGTGTTACCACTCCGTGGCCTTTGGCCTCCTCTCAGCAGCGTGGGCCTCCCAGTACTCACGCTTCCGACCACATGACTCAGGCTCCAAGCAGCACTTTTCTGTATCCATGGTGAACGTTGCGTCTCCTCTCTCAAGCAAGACTCCTGTGTCATACACTATTGATTAGAGGTGAGTCACAGCCTTTTCAGATTCAAGCGTGGGAGGCAGAGTAAATCGCAGGTCTCGCTGTGAACGTGGCAGCTTTCATCCCAGCATGAGAGACGCCAGATCTTGTTGTTGCCACATAGTCCGTCACGGTGGGCTCCTAGGGAGCTGGTTATGTTTCACTGGTGGCCGCTCCCACATGGTGGCCGCTCAGATGTGTTTAACGGGTCACATATAGGTTGTGCACAGTTGTTGAGGATTCAAGACATAATCAGGAAACAAAATAGGTAACTGACTCCTATCTCTGAGCAAGGCCGAGAGAAGACTAAATGAACAACCGGAGGTCCGGAGGGAAGATGACAGTCAGAAGGGGACTGGCTGTTCAGTCCTGGAGCTCACCATGGCCACGGCAAACGCAGTCCAGGGTAGAAGTCTTCGTATCTTCGGGACCATAGGTACTTCTGACCCCACCAGAAATAGGTAACTTCCTGCTAGCTGCATAGGCTGGCCTGCCTTAGCTCGTGCCACTGACTGCCCCTTCCTCTCTCCGTTTTAAATCCCTGTTTCATTCATTCATCTGTTCCACAAGCATTTACAGTGGGTCTGGAATGTGTCAAACAGAAAGTGAGAAGGACTTAGGGCTATGGACAAAAGCGGAGTTGGGTGAAGATGCTCAGGCGAGGCTCTCAGAATGTAGCTCCGCTCTTCCATGGAATGCCACAGGGAACGGAATGGAAACAGCCCTCTCTCAGTAGAATGGAAGAGTGCATCTGGCACCGGATCCACAAAGGCCGCTTGTTTGTATGCCGGCTCTTCAGATGACGTCTCAGGGTGAACTCCAGACTAGAAGGTGAATTTGTTTTCTGACAATCATCAAGGAAACATCTGCAAATGTGTTTTAAAAGGAAAATTCCCACCATGAACCAAATGGAAAACAATATCGCTGGTCATAAAATGTAATTAGAAATAGATGTGTTGAAAACATTTGTTGTTATACATGATTTTTATTGTTTGGTTTTATATTTTGAGACAGACATGGGCTCTGTTGCCCAGGCTGGAGTGCAGTGGGTGATGCCGGCTCACTCCAGCCTCCACCTCCCCTGCCCAAGTGGTCCTTTCACCTCAGCCTCCCAGTAGCTGGGATCACAGGCACGTGCCGCCACAGCCCGCTAACCTCTGGTATGATTTGTAGAGAGCGGATTTCACCATACGTGAACCGGCCTGGTCTCGAACTCCTCAGCTCAAGCTTCCCGACTGCCTCGGCCTCCCAGAGTGCTGACATTACAGGTGTGACACAACATTTGTCGATGTTCTTTTGAAAATGAAAAAGATGAAATAGATCTAAGGACTCTCTCTCTCTCTAACAATGTCTCATTTGTGCTCCTTTATTTACTTGGCACTAAAATCTTTCAGAATACCTGTTGTTCATCTCAATTGGTGGAGGAAGAAACTGAGACTCTGACAATGGAAGGACCAAGCCCACGGGTGCCAAGGGAGCAGGCGGCAGGGAGAAGGTGGAGAGCCACGGCCGTTGGATACCACGGTCAATAAAGACCGGAGAAAACATAGTTCTCAGGCACTTCTGCCCCGTTCAACCTGGCCCCTCTCTGTTTTCACGGATCCAATTCTCTAAGCATCTCGCCCTATCTCCAGCTCCCATCAAAAGCAGCTCTTCAGCCCTGGCCGAGATCCTGTGGCCCGCTGCCCACTACAGGCCACCACGATGCGGGCCTCCTGTCAAAATCTGAAATGACCGTAGATTACACTTTCTGCTGTTTCATGATCCCCCACGTTGTTCGCCTACGTGCCGAGGTACTTGTGTCTATGGCCACAGATGACCTGCACACCGGAGTTTGGAAAACACTTATTTTCAGGACAGAGGCTTTGAAGGGACATCCACCTCTGCTTGTGTCCCAACTCTGCTACTCGTGCCTGCCTAAACTGGCAGCCAGTTTTAGAAGCTCCATTCACCTTCCGTGTGAGGCTTCAAGGAGGGCGTGCCCATGAAGGAATCACCGAGCCTAGCCTGTAGTCAGCACTTACTGCATGTGAGCCCTTTTTATTCTTCCTGTTGTTGTTTGAGCAAAAATTCAAAGGCAGCTTTTGTCTCGACTGCGCACAGCCTGAGGTGTAGGCAGTACTTCCAGGACCACTGCCTCCGGAACCAGCATCCACGTTTCTTTGACGTGAAAACTGAGCGTAAAAGCAATTCATTTACAAAAAGGTAGGAGGACACAAGGAAATAGGCCTTCTGGTGACTTCTTAAGTTCTAAGTTTCCCTAGACCCTGTCATCACCCAATGTGTGGCGTGAGGAACAGAGACAGCCTTTTCCATTCAAAACTGTGTGACGGGTCACAGGTCAGCGGAGTACAGGGTCCGGCAGGAGCAGAGCGATAGCGCACCCTTTGTCAGACAAGTCAGCATGCTGTTCTGGGCCTTGGCTTCATCATCTGTAAAATGGCGACAGAACTACATATTTCTTCATTTACTGAGCATCTTAAGTGAAGTGCCGGAAAGAGAATGTGGCGCTCCATGCCCTGATGCGTCAAGTGCTCAAGAAATGACAACTATCGTTCCTAATGTAACTTACGTTATTTCACCCAGTGATTTGGACCAAAAGGACCTAGACCCTATTGCTTCTGCCTCGGCCTCCAAAGTAAATGCCTCAATGAGTTACTCTAATACCTTTCCCCTCCTGCAGCATGAGCAGGATTAAGGTTTTCCTGGGAATGGCACCACGATTTCTGTGACTCCACCACAATTTCTGAGACTTGACTCTGAGGCAGTATCACAGTCTGCACTCTCTTCCCAATGTCAGGTGTGTGGGTGGTGGGGTTGATGTCGTCACTGTCTCTCACCTAAATAGTAGACTTGAAGTGAGTGAAGGCCGTTCTCATACGTCAGCCTGTAAAAGATGTAAGCATCAGCGACTTCATGCCCACAGGTGGACATTGGAGAAACTGTCAACAGCTGCGGGGAGCTGCAGATTCCAGCGGGGGAAAATCCAATGATAACCTCAGGGTCTCTGAGATAAAGCCTCCTCATCACAAGGTGGCAGATTCCTGCCTCCAGAAGACCCAGGGAGCCTGCTCCCAGCATCCCAGAGACAGTTGGTTAGGATTCGCATCTCTAAAATAAGTGTTCCAGGTATGCTAGGCGGGCACAAGGGTGTCCGCCAGAAAAAGCGACTGTCTCTATTTCTTCTGACTTGCCAACACCATTGGTATCCATTGCCAACACGCCCTACACCTCCCAACCCGTAACCTCCAGTACCCACCATTTGTTCCCTCTGCATGTATGAGTTCTGATTTTGAGACTCCACATGTAAGTGAGAACATGTGCCATTTGTCTCTCTGCCTGGCTTATTGCACTTGGTCTAATATGCTCCAGGTTCACTCACGTCACACGTGGCAGGATTTTTTTCTTTTTCAATGACTAATGTTCCTACCACGTACTCCACAACTCGGAGGAGACGACGAGACTCCGCCTGGATTCCTCCTCCCGGCAGTAAGCTGAGGCAGGCGTTAGGTCCAATATCTTGCATTGTACTCTCTGACGGTAGATGCATCCAGTATACATACAGAACTCTGATAAATCAACAGTCAAATGATGACCTAATTCAAAACTGAGCACAGAATCTGAACAGACATGTTGCCAAAGAAAGTATACAAATGGCCGATAAGCACAGGAAAATCCACCCCGCCGCCCCCCACTTCATCATTATCAA